ATTCAATCAGTTTGCTTTTTTTCAGACAAATTCTTAATAACAAAAGATTTAGATTTGATATCAAAATGTTTTAACTTTTGAAAAATTATTTTTTTTCATTTTCTGACATATATTTATAAATTCTATGGATGCAATGCATTTCGCCGAAAATCGTTTCGTTGAAAGACTCGTTTGCCACTTTAGACTGTTTGAACCCTCTTATTTTTTATGCTGGCTTGTTAAGCACGAAGAGGCCAATTCATTTTGTTCACGTTCATACCTTTGGAGCGCCTTACGCGACCAGAAAATGCTTTTGATGACGTGCTTTTCGGCGAAGAGCATACTTACCAATTCCATTAGGAAACAGACATATATTTTCGAATAATTTAGTGCAAAGATAATAATAGTGCAATTTTTCTTAATGAAGTTGAAAATAAACAATTAAGAGAAAAAAAGAAATTGCTTGACATTCAAAAAAAAGCAATTGTGTTCATTGATGATAATTAATAAATAAATTAAGTGCATTTTTTTCTTGTACGTGCATTATGTCTTGAGTATATTATAACTCTTTTTTTTCTTACTTGACAAGTCATTGAATTGAAAAGATCTATATAGAGTTTATTGGTATACATAAAAACTAAATAATATTAACAATTGTTGTTCATTTAATCAATGAAAATAATCACTATATAACATAAAAACAAAATGGAATTAAATTCTGCTGTTATGTGTCTCGTCAATTAAATAAGAAATTCTAATATCAAATATTAACCAATAGATATTGTTCTATGTCTGTTGTTATGTAAAAAACAACCTTGTTGGCTATTAGAATAAGACGTTGTATTTAGAATTTTCACTTCATAATAATGAATTAATGTATAGCAATAATAATTATACAATGTTAGATTAAGAAGAATATAATTTATGCCAGAATTATCAAGGTTTCCGGATTTAAAATTATAACATTCAACAATATTCATCAATAAAATATTATGTAAACTATATAGAATAATTCCGATCGAATTCTTACAATAACATTACAAGTGTTTGCAAAAAACTTGGAAAAAAAAATTTTTTTTTATAAAACCTATTTCTCTACTATTATAAATAACTACAAGGGTCATTTTATGAGGGATAAACCCTCGACAGATATACTAAATGTGATATATATAGAAGTGCAATTTCTTTTCTCTTCGATATATATTCATTCAATTATGCCGTCGACCAGTAACTTGAAAAATCATCATATTTCAATATTGTCTTATTGGAACAGGGGCATACGATCTGCTTCTCTGATTCATCGTGAAACAAACATTCCATTAAACACTATTTATTACAATATTGACAAATTAAAACAAACAGGTTCAGTTAAACATCGAGGTAAAACGGTCGACCATATGTCCTTGGTGGAAAAGAAAAAGAAAGCTATAGGTCAATACATTCGGTATAATAATGAAATAACTCTTAAAGAAATAAAAGAAAATTTATCGAGAATGTACCATAAATCAGTGTCTACATCAATGATTAGTCGTCACCATCACGAATATGGTTATAAAAATGTTTCACCTCAATCTACTTATATATTAACATCAGATGAAAAACAACGACGTGCATAATGGGCTAAGAAACATATAAATGATGATTTCAATAATGCAATATTTACAGATGAATCCTCATTCCAGTTTTTCATAATACAATTCGCCGATGGACAAAATATTCCGATCAAGAATTTAAATGCTTACCTAAAAATCGTCAGAAGGTGCATGTTTGAGGTGCGATAAGCGTGAAAAGTGTATTAACATGTCACATGTTTCGATGCAATCTTGATGGTCCATATTATGCTTCTATCCTTGAAGATCATCTTCTTCCAGCTGCTACACGCGAGTAAGGAAAGAAATTATTCAGCGTTACTTGTATACTTTTTCGTTTTTAGACCAATTTAGTCCAAATTGGCGTTTACCACAGGACAATGACCCCAAACACACGAGTAATATCTGTCAAGAATTTATCGACGAGAATGTACCACAGTTATTAGATTGGTCATCGAATAATTCTCATGTAAATCCAATCGAACATATCTGGTCAATCGTGAAACACAAAGTAGAAAAAAGAAAATCAATGAATGTTGATGAGCTCGAACTATTTTTAGCTGAAGAATTCGAAAATATTGATATTAATATTGTGAAAAATTGTGTGATATCTATAAAAAAAAAAGATGTTTGTCTCTTATCGATGGTAAAGGTGAGCGAATAAAATATTGAGCTATGATATTCGATATTACTCGTTTTAGACTGTCAATTCCTATGCAAAAACTTGAGAGAGTTCTTGTTTGAGGAAATATTGTATAACAAAATGTGCGAGTTCTATTGCAAATACTTCAATATAATATTTAGAGAAGGCATTCAAAAAAAAAAGACTGATGAACTCTAACATTTTTCAAGTGAAAAAGTTAAAAAATTGAAATACCCATGACAAATAATTCTGATGTAGCCAAGGAAACGAGATATTTGTATAATATATTTTTTATAAGTCAATCAAAAGAATATGAAATTATACTGTTGTATAGTACTCTTCATGGGCTATCTACCACACTATAAAACAATTCGAAGAGCACTTGTATAGAGAAAGATATCTGTGGAAGAAGGTTTCCAAGTTTTTTTGCAAACATCTGTGGATATTTATTTAAAGCACATTATGTCCAAAAGTTCTTATTGAAATTCTTTTTCGCATTTAATACTCTTATCAGATAAATTATCTTCAAATATGACAAATATATCATTTATAATTTGTCTTATTAAGAACTTATTTTGTGTCTATCGTGAGTATTATTAGATGTGACATTATTATCGTTTAACTAGCATCTACCTCTTTTAAAACTATAAATAGTATCTCTTCGAATTATGTGTACCAAGTGCTTTTTATTTTTTTCTTAATTTTATTCATTTGCATGATTACAGAAACTAGACCTTAATGAAGAAAAATTTTCAATTAATCAAGTGCTTTCTCACAAAAACATTATTGAATCATCTATTGAATGAATTAAAACAGCTATACGTTCTGTAAAAAAAATATTTTTTTGCAAAAAGCTTGTTAATCTAGAAAACCGACATATAAAGTTCGAAGGAAATTTCTCATGGTCATATTAGGCGTTAGCATGGTCAATAACTCATAATCTAGTAGATTTTGATGAGAAAGTGAATTATTAGTTAAAAACGTTCCCTCATAAGTTCCGAAATTTCGCCAATTCGACTGTGAATCATATATAGATTAAAAAACTTCTCATCGACTACATGGATGAGTATAAGTTATGATATATATATATATTCTAACAATATTAATTTCAAACCTCGCATGTATCCTATATTAATATTATTTGCTAACAGCTTGCGAAAGTTCACTCTACTTTCGCCATTGACGAAATTCCGATTTTCCGATCTCTCTCTCATGTTTAACAATACATTAAAGAAAACTCTGATTGACAAACAATCGACAAGCATTAACAGTGTACCGTAAAGATCATCGATGACAGAAAAGTAACACCTCTCTATCGGATTATCATTGTAATTGTATTGATTATTTATGAAAAATTTGAAATTCATACAAATCTATGTTTTTCTGATTGATTTACTGTTTAAAATTCTTTCAAATTTCAAAATAGTACCAAAATTAATTCGAATATTTAATAGCAATGATTTAAAAGAATAATATTTATTTGTTTTCATCTATGTCAAGAAGTGTAATGAAATTATTCAATAATTAATTGGTAAAATTAGACTTAACTCATTTAATTAATATTAATGAATTGTATATTTTTTTTTGTTTCGATTTCAATTTATTATTAAAAATAAAACTGACTTGATCATATTGAAATATTATTGTCCCGCTTATTTTTTTAAAAACTTATAATGTTATTCAAAAAAGGTTATTTAATTCATTTTGCTCGTCTATTCTTTGCTAGTCTCTTATTTGGTATTTGTTCATTATTTTCTTATGTTTGGAATAAATACCAACCATTTGATCTTATATTTCAATTACAACGATGTCAACCAACAATATCTATTATGAAAATATCTCATATTAATATATTGAATTGGTTAGAAAATTTTCATTTTATCCATCTTTTACCATCATTTCCTTTTCTAACAAATTCAATTATACAAAAATGTCATTTCTATATTAAAGATGATTATCCAATAGATATAAATAATTTTATTGAATTTATTCATTTCATTCTATTAATTTATATTGGTTATCATTTAATTCAACTTTTATTTTTTCATTATCATCTTAAACAATTAAAAGAAAAACAATATTATTATGCACGTCTCTATCAACAAGATCGAAAAAAAAAGAAAAAAGAAAACCTATAGATATTGAAATTGTTTATTTTAAGCATAAAATATGATAAATAACAACGAATAACATTG